GTGATAACGTCCTAAGATGCTACAAGATCTCTCTACATACAGAGTCTACAGACTAACATTGTTATATCTTTGAATTCTTGTATTAATGATTGTACTCATTATTTCTATACTGGTCAATGACCAAAATAAATTGTTTTTGACAATACCTTTGTTAATTCTAATATTATATTTTAAACTATGTTTAGTGGAGTCTGGTGGCTGCCATGTCTCTGAGGCAGAGAATCTGTTCCAGGGTTTAGTCTGAATTATAAAGGATCAATTTAAGATGCTAAATTTAAGGAAATCCAAGCAGCTTGAATAGCTCTATTTAGGTTCAAACTAAAACCCAAAGCAGCATACCACCCCACAGATAATGATGGTGTGATGTGAGTGTGAAGAGAGAAACTGGGAGAGACATAGCACTGTTTTAGGGTGCTGCTTGTCTTCCCTGGAGATATGATGAAGGAATACTATCTTTGCTGCTAAATAAAACATCATATTTCAATATTCACTAAAAACTACATATCGAGTTGCTTTATACGTTCAATAGATAAAGAATTATGCTAATATGATTTCAAAGAATCTCACACCTCCAAAACAGCTGTGTATATCTGGATAGTGAGGACTCCAGAAAATTACATTGTTTGGGGCTTGTATTCAGTGTTAAATCTTGCTCTTGAGCAGAAGGAAAAACGAGGAATGCTTTTCCAGTCAGGAGTTTTTAAAACCACTGAAGCTGCAACAGGAATCACAAATGCAATCCAATAGAACAGCATCTGAAGTGTTCTCATTTTCTCATTCTACGTAAATCCATCTTTCCTCCTTAAAAATGGGTGGGGACAGTTTAATGTATTTTACAGACATTTCTGTACAGCTTGCTATTCCTGAATTGTATGAATGCCCAGAGGAGCAACATGTTAACTCTTTCTAAACAATTGTCTGATATGATTCTGTGTGGCACAACACTGTTCGCAGTTGGGTTTGTTTTGGGGTTTGTTTGTTTGATCTGCTTAATTTTAACAGAAAATAATCTACAGCCAAGACAGAGCCCAAACGAACCTCCAGGGGGCTGGCACTGCCCCCTCCAGCACCTGTGGCTTTATTTAGTTCCAGAGGCTCAGTTATTCTCAAAGATGCCTTATTAAACCTGCATAGATCTCTACACCAAAACTCCACTTACTTAATAAAAATATCATCTGTTTACATAGTGAGTGTTTTGGAGAGAGAGGTAAAAATGCAGAAGCTGGTTGCCAGTTGCATTACAAATCTTCATAACATACCGCTGTAGGTTTCATTGCCCAAACCTTCTGTCACCCATGCTTTCTGTATGAAAATGGGAACCAGTACTAAGACCAGACACTGAAAGATATATGAACTCCTCCCCCATTGATATAACAATGAGAAGGAAAGACTGTCTCTTTACTCAAACATGCACTGGGCATATGGCAAGGCAAACACTACAATTTAGCATAATGTCACTTTATGGTTATGGTAATTGCTATTCATAGCTTTGTAGGGCTGGTAATAGTGGTCTGCCTCTCCATTGGAATGCTGAGTATATCATTTAGATCTTTATTTAGAATTCATAATTTGCAACATATTTTTTCATCCTAAATGACTGGTATTCCTGTCAGCCACATCACCTTCCCTTTTCTCCTTCATGCCATTTTCAAAATTGATTCTGGCCTGTTGACTGTTCCTGCTGTGGGCCTTCAAGTCATTTCCAACTTATGGCAACCTTATTATGGAGTTTTCTTGGCAAAATTTGTTCCGATGAGGTCTCTCTCTGAGGCTGAGAGAGTGTGACTTGCCAAAGGTCACCTAGTGGGTAACTATGGCTGAGCAGGAATTCCAACCCTGATCTCCAGCATCATAGCCTAATGCTCAAACCACTAGACCACTCTGGCTCTTCTGTCTACCGATTGAATGCTATGTTTTAGATATCTTGAGTGGGGGGCAAGTTAAAAGTATAAAGCTGTATGTACAATAGAACCTGCACTGTTTTTTTCTTTTTCCCAATATTAGATTTCTGAGCTGAATTATGCTCTATTAAAAACTGATCGTTGCTAGCCTTCCCCATTTTCTTCTAAAATAATCTAGAATTGAAGCCTATAATTGGGGGCGGGGGGGAACTGCACTGGAAAATAAATGAAACCAGCATACAAGCGTTCTGTTGATTCTGCTTTAGGTCATATTATTTTAATAGCATCGCAATGCTTTCCTCCCCTAATGTCATTCATGCTCTGAGCCATTAAGAAATATCTAGAATAAGGTTGAATCAGTGTAAAAGGTGTATGATAGTGATGGGTAAGAAATCAGTTCCATTTGCATTTACCAAAATTT